TTCAGAATATTATTATCTTTCAGGTCCACTAGACTCAAGGTGCAGAAAGTTCTAGCAAAGGAATTTTGGTATCTTCAAAACTTATATAACTTCCCAGTCCAAAGATATATTGTCTTTCTATCCTCTTTAAAATTGTTTATTTTATTATTGGAAAATCCATTTGAGTTTGTGTTCTATGGAAGTGAAAGAGTTGTTCCTGCTGGATTCTCTACTATACTGAATGTAATAGTATGAGTTTTATACCATTATGTCACTATAAAGCATGCTGTGCATCTCCTAACAAGACTGCCATTCATTTTTTTCAATAAATCCTGTGCAGGGGTATTAGGGTCTGTGAACTGACAATAGATTTACTGCCTAGAAAATTATTCTTTATTGATTTATATTACATACATATGACTGCAAATCTATAATCAGAGAGAAAATGCTAAAGTTAGTGTCATGCTTATTTGGACAGGAAATTCCAAGTAGGAGAATTTGCTTAGCATCCCTAAGTGACATCTACATATTATTCAATTATGAATTCCAGGAACCCATAAATTATAATGCATAAAGCAAGTGAAAACAGGATAATTAATTTTTAAAATGTGTCCTTTACATAAACAAGAATTTTAAATGTCAACCTAGCATTTTTTTTCCCTAGGTGAAACTGGGCACCTCAACTTGATTTTTTCCTACAGCTTCTGCATTCTATCTGGCTTGTTCTCTATATTTTGAAAATGTAAAGCATTTTAAATGAGTAAAATTTTTTACGTAGAAATTGCCATAAATTGATTACTCTGCTTAAGGAAGGTTTCTAAAAATGGTGTTGACATGATTTACTAATAGCTATGAGCTACTTCAGAAAGTTCTCTAAAATCAAGGCAAGTGCCCACTCTTTGTGAATTTTCTTTTGTAACATGTTCAAATCAAGAACCTACTGTACAGACACAACCTTAGTGTGACTGAAATGCAAAGAAATGAAATGCAGCAGCATTTTAGGTCAGTGTTATGGGCAAAGGGCAATGAAATTTGTGGAACTGCTATATACCTATACTCTGAGTCTGTGAATTGACTTTGGGGATCATAACTCCCTTGAAATTATATACAGAATATGCAAATGTTTAAATGTGACCCCCCCCCGAGAAGAGGGTCTATATATTGTATTTTTGAATTTATTCATGATTGTCAAAAATATCTTAGGTATATATTGTACATACATTGCTGAGTCCATAGCACCAAGCACAGTGCTTAGTAAGGAGCAAGTTTCAGTAAATATTGGATAAATGCTTGCTGTCAGCATGTCAAGTGAATTTCTTTGAATACTCCAGTTTGTTAAAAGGAGCATGTTTTACTTTGCCTAGTTTCCTATAATGCCCACCAAACATACCATAGTTCACTCAACTGTGTGTATGAATATGTGTGTATGAATATATAAATATATATGTGTGTATTGTGAAAAAAAAGAAAGGAGGACAAGAACTTGGAATTCTAGGTACCTGACATGACTAGGCAAAAAGGACATCATACTAGTTTTGAGAGACTCGAGGCAAATACTGTTGCTCTAATTGTGAGTGTAAAAAGTAGGAGAGGCAGCGCTTCAGTTCCTTTTTGACCTCCTGTCTTGAGGCAAAGTGGAGAAGCAGAAGCTTACATGAGCACCCAATGTCCCTTCCTGAGCCCTATGGAGGGACCTGAGATGATCGAAGGAAGCTGAGTGCTACTCAGTACAGTTCACCTACTTCAACTCCCTCATAGGCTCAGAGAGGGATGGTTTTGACTCTGTCTTGGACTCACTCTTAATCCTGCATAGAGGAGATGGAATTTCACTCTGAGAGCATAGTGTTCTCATTGACACATCTCGGTGGGAGGAAGCAGTCCAGGGAAAGTGAGTGTTGGGGTGCTTGGGGATCTCATGTGACCTCTGTTGCTGGCATCCATGAGGCCTAGAGGACCAGTTCTTATCCTGAACCCCAGCACCATCCTGGGAGCATAGAGATGATGGCTCAGCCAACAGACCTGAATGAGAGAAGCAAGGGAACACACAGTGGTCTGGGGATTTAGCTCAGTGGTTCTGCCACCTGCCCCAAAAGCACAAGGACCTGAGTTCGATCCCTGGTACCAAAAAAAAAAAAAGAGAGAGAGAGAACACACAGTGAGAAATCTAGTCTGATTAAATATTTTATTTAATATTTCAGAAAGCCC